GCACTGGTCAGGCCGCAGCTGGAGTACTGCGTCCAGTTCTGAGCACCGCACTTTAGGAGGGATGTGGACAGCATGGAGAGGGTCCAGAGGAGGGCCACTCACATGATTGGGGGCAGCAGGGCAGGCCCTACGAAGAGAGGCTACGGGACCTGAACCTGTTCAGCCTCCACAAGAGGAGTCTGAGGGGGGATCTAGAGGCCTGTTACAAACTAGTCATGGGGGACCAGCAGACATTGGGGGAGTCCCTGTTGCCCCCAGCACTACCAGGAGTGACAAGAAATAACTGTCACAAGCTGGCAGAGGGTAGATTCAGACTAGATATCAGGAGGTGCTACTTCACAGTCAGGGCGGCTAGGATCTGGAACCAACCTCCAAGAGAAGTGGTGCTGGCTCCTACCCTGGGGGTCTTTAAGAGGAGACTGGATGAACACCTTACCGTGGTTGTTTGACCCCAGTACTCTTTCCTGCCATGGCAGGGGGTCACACTTGATGATATGCTCAGGTCCTTTCCAACCCTACCAACTATGAAACTATAAGTAATGGTATATAGAACCAGATATACAGGGACAAGAAGGATCTACAAATAGTACACCATACTCCTGTTTGCTTACCACAGATGAATGTAGAGAATCAGACACCTGGGCTCAAATCCAGATGTGAAACTACTGGCATACTACCTCATTTCTTTTCCAGTGACTGGCCTACACACAGGATAACAGCCCACTACTGCTACTATTGTTTGACCAGCAGAGACCTGCGCTACGGAAACAAACCCTGCTGAAGATTTAAGATGGGAATCAATACAGTTCCATGAGGTAATTTTTTTCTCTTTAAGAAAAGTATTAATTTTGTGCAACATTCTTCTAGTATTGTTTTTAAGGTTGCCAAGTCATGAAGTTAAAACTAGTAAATGCCAGAATTAAGATGCAACCTTAATTCAGGCCATATTGGCAAATACAATACAATCTTTGTATGATCAGTTTCTCTCCCCCACAGGACCTCATTCAGTCAGTGGGTAACTGTAGTTTTTTTGTTTTTTTTTTTAATCGTCCACAGTGAGCATGAGACCCTAGCCTTATTGACTATAGAAAGGGTGGCTCAGTGATGCTCTTACTCATAACACTGAGGTGCTTCACCAACCTTCGTATTAAACGTTCCTATTTCATTATGTGGTGGTATTATTCTCATTCTATTTCAAAGAAATGAAGCATAGTTAGAAAAAGTCTAAATTCTTTGGCTTCCTTTCTAAATTCCACTTATTTTACAAGTCCAACTGAAAGCCCTTAGGATCATTTTTTCAGAGTAGTCAGCATTGTTAAAGGACTTTGACTGGAGTTGCGCTTGGTAACTTCAACTCTATCTGTGAGCACTCAGTATACACTTGGCACCTGAAATGAACACACAATTAGCAATGACTCAAAAAAAAATGGCTTAAGTGACTTGTCCAGCATATTAGAAACTGTGGCAGAGACTCTAATTCTCCAGGACAATATTCAGGTGTCTTGATCTCGAGATAATCCTCTCTTCTGGAAATCCCCTGCCTCATGTAACATGACTTCAACTCCTGCAACAAGTAAGGCATGCCTCCTAGGGCATCTTTTACTCCACAGCTTTCATTTATCCTTGGAAGGCCCCTAGGTAACTTGTACACTGAAAGAAATCAAAATGTAATGTAACCATGTAATTAAACTCTATCAAAATACATGTGTCCACAGAGCAGAATTAAAAAAAAAAAAATAGGCCTATCCACCTGAAGTGCTTCATGTAGACTTAACATCAAAAAGAATGTAAAATAATACAACAGTTGAAATATTATCATAATTTAACAATAAACAAGCCCCAATAAACAATAGTTTTATAAAGGCAAGTCAACCCAAAATATCTGCTATACTGTAAGCTCTCCATTTGGCAACTTTCATAAGCAAACATTTACACAGCCTTTACTAATTTCAAACTGTTTTAGAATATTGGCTTAAAATAGTCAATGCTACTAGTTCTACACCTTTTAATCTTGCAAATGTTTAATCAGTTTAACACATTTGTCCCTTTTGTTTATATTTCTGAGTATAAGCATGAAATGTGTTACCTGCAACATAGCAGAGGGAACACAAAAGTAAGCAGGCCATTTTGAACACATGGCTATTTTAAAATAGATATGCTATCCAGAGAATATTCTACATTCAACTAGAATAGTTATGTAGGTCAAATATGAAGCCTGAGCTACCTGACAAAGTCCAATAAGATTTACAATTTTAAGTTAGTGTTTTCAAAAACATGTTTACCAATCCCTCACCTTACCAATCCCCTCCTTTGCTTAGCAAATTCCTAAAACTGAATTTAAAAAAAATTACAGTAGGATACATTCCATGATATACTTTTATAGTATCATTCAAGTTGCATTAAGGACCTGCTATGCAACTAACAGATTTAGGATAACATTTTCAGAAGCACCCAAAACAATGTAACAGCTTGAATTATATTTTTAAAAAATTAAGTCAGTGGAACTTAAACTTCTTACATGCATAAGTCACTTTTTCCAGGGTTCAAATTACACTCTGACTCTTGGGCTGGGGCCTGCGGCAGTGGCAGCTGGAAGCCAGAAGGAGCCACCACCTGAGCCACTTAGAAAGGTGTGGGGCACGCCATGGGCTCTCGTCTCTTATGGGGAGGCTCAGCCCTCACAAACCCTGACTTTTCCGTATGGGATTCTTGCTCTTTAAGTTTTATCCTTAGTCTTTCATATTAATTTAATGTGGAAAAATACACCTGTAAATGTAATGCTATTATGTTTAAAAGTTAGTCTTGAATAAGCAGGTAGAATTAAAATATCTACTACTCTGGAAAAGTTGTCTTTGGGAGTTTTACAGGGAGATTCAATTAAAAATCTGATTCCCAATGTGATATAATTTATTCCCTACTGTAGCATAAATGTGCGTCTCATGCCATTTGACTATCAATAGACAGAATCAATTGGTTTTTCATTTATTGCATTTATTTTCTTCCTAACAAGAAAATTCCTCAAAAATTCCTGGAGATTGGCATTTGAAAAGAAGTATTTGCTTTCCTCTTCTTCTTCCCTTGGATAGTCAACTCCATCGCAAGTACAAAAACTCCATACTATAAATAGTATTCAAAATTTCAGAGATCACTGCATTAGCTTATTTTTATTTGTTTTTGTAACATATTTCAAACTCATGCGAGTTCTACTAAGTAAAATTTGGTCAAAGACAGAAAAACCCTTGAATCAATTTGAAAAAACTAAGCAGGTTCATAATTTTCAAAATAACTTCTTGCATTTTTATAGTATTTGATAGCAGCTTTTTATTGGTTACAAAACCTAAGCCCATATACAAAATTAGGAACACATTTAGATGCCTCTTTGAAAGAACGTTTTAGTCTATTTTAACTGATAGTTTAAAAAAATAATAAAAACAATGCAATTTTTAAACACTGTTCTGAAAACTTAAAAGTGCAGCAATATACTTTTGTTTCCTTTATTAACTATGAAATGGTGCAATCCCAATCAAAAGCTGATAAGGTCACAACAGAAAGAACTGAGCAAATACTTTGTCCTACTTCACTCAATTCTCCAATGTTCATTTTAATGTGATGCATTGAGTGCAAGAAAAGGATTAAATCTTCACAGTAGTGGAAAACTGGTAATTTAATCTCAATTTGTATGTAATCTCTAGGACAACAGTGAGTGCAGGCTGAACAGGGCAACTGTCAGTCTATACAGCATATACTGAAACTTTTGAGTTGAGAGGGAATTTTTGTTTCACAATATCATCATCAGCTGGAACTCAACTTTAAATTTGCAAAAACTTTGTGACCTTACCTAACTTTGACTTCATGTTGTTTAGTTGCAGCGAACACCACACAGTTTTAAGATTTTAGGCTATAGTGTGTGACTAGGATGCAGTTACCATATGAAGCTTCAACTCAACTTTTGGGAAAAGAAAAAAGGCACAATGAACTTCAACTCAATCTTATGTGCACAAGAGTTGAAAAATCTGAGCCACCTTAAAGAGAAATTGATTCTAAAATTTATAAAACCTATAAATAATCAGAGGCCAAACCACTATATTAAAACAGATTATCTAGCAAGTAAAAATCTTGCAGTTTAAACATACGCTTGTATCTGTTTAAGATACAAGACAACTCGCTCTTTAAAGTGGCTCCACCTTGGCAGATATATATTTAATGAATGCACACCTGCTATGTGTTGTTCATCAGTGGAAAAAACAGCTGATCCACAAAGCTCTGATGGCATCTGTCCTTATCTTCATCACAGTAAATACAACCCACATCCAGTAACTAAATTAGTTTAGACTTTTCTATCCCTTCACATCAATGCATTGGGAAATTACACCCAGTAAACAACAGCAACAAAACCAGTTTGTGATAGCTTACAGTTTTACATTATTCGTCTTCACCCCAGCAATACCAAATCCCTTTGAAAACAACTGGGCTGGACGATTTTCCAAAAGCAATGACCTTGTATATCACCAGCTCATGTAAAGTTATTTAATGTGTGCTGCACATGAGGTTTATGCTGAATAACTGCAGCTTCCAAACAGTCTCACACATCAACTAGTTTGCTTTTTTAAATCATGTGAATATAGTTTTAGACTAGTTTCTGAATTACTCTTCCAATACTCTCAGAACGAAGCTTTTATGATGCTTCTATATAATTGCTGGTTTGTTGCCAACCACATCATCATAAGCACTGGTTACTAAGTAAAAAATAGTTTAAGACTAAATTACAGTAAACATGAAAGCTCCACAGTTTAAACCCAATATAAATCAACCCTATCCAATTATCAATTTAAAATGAAATATATTGACTACTGAAAGTTGAAAGCAAGATTCTTTTTAACTAATGCACGTATTTTGGACAGATTTTTTTCTAGTCAGGGACTCTTGCTTTCAGCTTAAACAGAAGTTCAAGTCCATAACAGGTTGTAGCTCGGGTAAAATACCATGCACAGCATTTGATTACTTCAAAACAGCAGGAACACACAGGCTGAAGTGAGTGGTCAAATAGGGCTCGCTGTTCTCAAAAATTAGGTATAATGGCAAAAGCTTTACCAGTCCAAATCTACAGTTCATTCTCCAACCCTGGTTTCTGAGGCAGTTAATGAACACACATCAATTACTGATAGATGAAGTAGTTTGTTTTGTTAACTTAACTGTTTAATCAATTGCCAAGTGTTTTAAGTTACTTTTATTTCAGCTTCACCAATGAAATTCATTTGGCTTGCTTTAATCTATTCTTCCACATAAAGTATATGAAAATATGTTTGTGGAGGACAATGATGGAGGCTCAGATTAAACTGTGCCCCTGTACAGTCTTCCAAAATGTATGCATCATACCAAAGTGTCTTGATTCACAGCGCACCATTTTCCAAAGAAGCTACTTTTCCGTGGAAAGCCAATGTGCCACCACTATGGAATATTTTAAACAAAACTGCAGATTGAGGTTGTCAGCATGTGGCACCGGGGAGAAAAGGCAAAAAAGGTAGTTGGGACTGTTAAAAAGAATTCTAAAACAGTTTAAGAGATCATGCATATGCATTTACAGTCCATGTGATAGTGACTTTTGGCAACTGCAAAGTGACCGATACATGGCTTGCTTTAGAAGCATCAAAACAAAGAGGCATGTGTATCTTGGAGCCTTTTGTTTCTTCACGTGGTAGCCATCTGGTGGTGCTTTGTATTGTTGTGGGACAGAGAAGCTGCACTGCACTGAACTTAAAAATTAAACTCTTTTGTTTGAAGATTGGCTGTTGGGTCAAAATTGTAAGTACCTCCTTGAGTGGCTTCAGGAATGAGACTGGGATCTTCATCAATCTATAAAACAGAATGAAAAGCAATTCATTTGGACACAATTTACACACACACACACACACACACACACACACTTTATGAAGTGAAATAATATTACCAAAAAGTAATATATCAATAGTATTTTATCCCATTCAATCTTTGTGGTTTGTTTTTTTTAAAGTCATGCTGGGTCCCTAGGGCCAAGGGGAAAACAGGTCATCAAATCAGGCTAGTCTACTGATGTATAGTATAAGC